TAACAACAACAACAATAATAATGATGATTTAAAATAATATGTAAAGAGCAACATAAATAGCAGCTGTAAATAAGAAAACAGGTGACCTTGTTAGGTGGAATTAGATCAAAGTGATCCCAAACCATGGATCGCTTTTTTCCACTTGTAGATGCCATCGAAAATGAAACAAATGTCAAAAGTCGCCAAAATCACCACTAACGTCACACAATACTCCTCACTACCCAACATTTTTAAGAAATATTGGTGCATCTTTTATACTGTAGCAGTTTAGCGCTTGTCAAACCACAGAAGTGCGCTGAACACTCTGAAGCACTCTGAACCAATCGCAGAGCGGAACCTTCGCTGAGCCAATGAAACGCTTCGATACACTGAAGCGATTGACACGCAGAGCGAAGCAGTAGGGGGAGGGACCGACACTTCCACACTCTGGTCACGTGAGCGGCTGCTGCGAGACGAGCTCTGAGGCAGTGCTTCGGAGCAATTTGTTTCAGAAAGAACGAGACGTGCTCCGGAGCTCCGACTCATTTGCCCATCACTACTTTCAAGCTATCATTAGGCTTTTATGATTATATCCAAACATCTGCGCCTTTTGTTTAAAAAGAGACGACAATAAATGCACTGACAGTACCGTATTTTCCGGGCTATTGGGCGGAAGCCTCCAACCCCACCAAAAATCGACTGTGCGTCCCACAATCCAGAACGCCCTATACATGAATCCACTCGGGTGTCCCAGCATGACTTCAGTAAACTACAAAGCCGCACCACCCGCAGCGCACGCAAACACACACGGAGCAGACAGCGACCGCACATCCAAAAACACCCGCAGACACTCTTATCACTGCACGCCGACGAGGAACGGAATGGAGGAACGAACCGAAAAAGCGAGTGCAATGTGCCGCTTCTAGACACAACTGAACAACTGAGTCACTGCGAACACGCCGACAATCCAGCGATCCCAGACAGCACCTCCCTACACGCCACAACTGAACAAAGCCCAGGGTCACCGTGAACGTGACAAACAAAGTCTCACTGACCCATCCAACTGTTGTGTTTCGTTTAAAGTCCGGTGCGGTTTATTTGTGAAAAAAGTTTGAAAATAGACCATTTAATGACAGTGCGCCTTATAATCCAGAGTGCCTAATAGTGCGGAAAATACGGTATTTTGAATGTTAAGAAACTATAATCCCAAACCATAAGGTGAATGGAAAGGGTTAACATTTCATATTTATCCCTAAAAGTCTGATCAATTCTACACATGTAGGTGCCGTAAAGTCATGGAAAATTCACTTAAGGTCATGAAAAAGTCATGGAAAAGTTTTGAAATTTTGTGGGAACCCTGTTACAGTGGGGTTCTGTGATTAGTTTACACAAAGTTGAATTTTGACTGATCCCTACATTTTTCAGTGACCCTGCACTAGGCACGGTACAATTTTCCAATTTGGTGTTAAAATAATTGAGATTAAAGATTATATCATGATAATTATTAAAGTTGAAGACTGTTTAAAAATGTTATGTTATGACTAAGTTCCATATTTAGACAGCTGTTATATGTACTTTATGAGTGAAAACAACAATGATCTAGAAGAAAGCATCAAGTATAAGTATCTTTTTTCAGCACATTCTGGTGATAAAATGGTGATTATTTTTGTTGGCGATTCTCACGATTATATAAAAAGTCCCACAAATTATTATTTTCTACTGTTTTTATCATGAAAACTGATATTATTGTTTATTGTCCCATCCCTACACTCTTCTGTCCTCCATCAGTGGTCAGTTTTTAGACTAAAATGTATTTACATAGTTTTCGTCTATGTTTTCATCAATGTTATCGTTTTGCTTGCTTTCTTCTTGTCTTATCAACTCTTAACGTAAAATGAAAAGTGACTGAAAGATAAAACTTACTTAATATTCACCTTATCCGGCCCCAGCCACTTTTGCTTCTAAACTCTCCTACACTGCGCTTTCTTGTGGAGGCACGTCTGGTTTAACGGGAATCCCATTCATGTCAGTGGAAAATCTGAGATTAAAACTCAACACAGAATCAAATCAAACTCAACACAGTCGAATCAAATTTAACACAGAATCGAATCAAATTTAACACAGAACAGAACTCAACACAGAATCGAATCATACTCAACACAGAATCAAATCGAATTCAAACTCAACGCAGAATTGAACTCAACACAGAATCGAATCGAACTTGGCACAGAATTGAATCAAACTCAACACAGAATCGAATCAAACTCAACACGGAATCGAATCAAACTCAACACAGAATCAAATTAGAGTCAACATAAAATCGAATCCAACTCAACACAGAATCACAGAATCAAATCGAACTCAACACAGAATCGAATCAAACTCAACACATAATTGAATCGAATTCAACACAATCAAATCAAACTCAACACAAGAATCAAACTGTTCTATCTTTTTCTGAGAACTGTCCCATCCCTCAGATGTACGTATGTTTTATTTGAGTACCAAAATAAACAATAAACGAGTGGAGACTAGACCTAAGTTGAACTCTTCATTCCACAAGTTCAGGCCAAACCGTATGCAAATTCAACGTCCAAGAAACACGTCTGTACAAGTCCCTATTATGTAATGCCACACAATTTATCATGGTTAATGCATTGTTATTATCATCGTTATTTTATATGCTCCTGTGCCTCCGTACTAGTGTGGTCACAATACTAAAATTTTGAACTCAATTTTGATTCTAAGGAATACATTTGATACTCAATACTGCTTCCAATAAAACAAGGATAATAAAAATACTCTTTATTTAGACAATAGAATGTGACTTTCAACATTAAATAACATTACTTTCTTTTCTATTCCCATGTGGTTTTATATTTGTTTAATCCCTCAGTGGTCCAGGGAGGTTTCTTAGTGGTCCATGGGCGTAAACTAATCTATGTGCTCTTATATTTGTTCTGAAACAGCTCAAAATCATTCTAGAACTATTCAGGAAAGGTTCATTTCTGTCCTGTAAATGGGAATTTTTAATATCCATATGAGTATCCAGATTTGATGCTAGTTTTAGTATGATTTTCAATATTTTTGACAACCTTACGTATCTATTTTCCGATCTGTGTTTTAATGTTATTTCCACATCACAAACACACCCGGAGTTGTGTTTTGTTTCACTCACACATGTTTAACACACATCCAATTTAACCCTTTAACACCTGAATTTATATAGACGTGTATTTAAAAAAATGTGTGTGTTTTTTTCCCTTTGAGTTGATGGTAAATTAAGTTAAGATTATTCATTTGACTTCAGCAAAAAAATAAATACAAATGTGGGTATGTTGCAAATTTGCGACAACTAGAAACAAGTGCATGCCAAAGATTCCTACGAAATTACTGCATTTGCACTAACCGCTATCTCGCCTTATATCCTTATATCTTGATCCAAACGGTTTGTCGCATATTTGTGACAGTCAGCGTTATTTAGGCTGTAAAAAAAACTCTGTTCTACCTTGTGATGGCATGTGATCATACAGGAAGTGCTCCACTGTGTTTTTAAACTCCATACGCCTTCACTGAAATTGAAATCTGTACGAAACAAAAGGTAAAATGAGCTGTTAACTTGAAAACTTCCACTAAATGATATTTTAAGATGGAACAGAGTGTTTTGGAGATGTAGACAGACTAATGCAAAAGGGTTGCTCAAAATATGTGTGAATGAAACAAAACACAACTCCATGTCTGTTTTTTTACGAGGAAACAACATTATTACATGGTTTAAAGCTTGCAGTTAATTTTGCGTAACATAGGACCACTTTAAAACAGCGATGGAGGGTAACAAAGTACAGAAATAAAAGTACAATACTTAATTACTGTATTTTCCACACTATAGGGCGCGCTCTTAAGCCTTCAACCCCATCAAAAAATGACTGCGCACCCGACAATCCAGAGCGCCCTATACACGAAGCCACTCGGGTGTCCCAGCACGACTTCATTAAACTACAAAGCCGCGCCACCCGCAGCGCACGCAAACACACACGGAGCAGACAGCGACCGTGCAGCGAAAAACACTCACAGACACTCTTATCACTGCACGCCGACGAGGAACGGAATGGAGGAACGAACCGAAAAAGCGAGTGCAATGTGGCGCTTCTAGACAGGACTGAACAACTGAGCCACTGCGAACACGCCGACAATCCGTTGGTCCCAGACAGCACCCTCCCTACACGCCACAACTGAACAAAGCCCAGAGTCACCGTGAACGCACCAAACAAACAAAACCACTGTTTCGTTTAAAGTCCGGTGCGATTTATTTGTGAAAAAAGCTCGAAAATATGACGTATAATCCAGAGCGCCTAATAGTGCGGAAAATACGGTAAAAATTTTCATCATACGTACTTTACTTGAGTCAGTTTTACGGTGGATACTTTTTACTTTTACTTCACTACATTTGAGAACTTGTATCTGCACTTTCTACTCTACTATATTTTAGATCTGGACTGAAAAGTAAAAAGTACTTTGACTTTTTTTTAGCACATTTAATGAGTTTCCGTCCCAATTTTGAGCAAACCTAACCTATCACTTAAAATTAACAAAATTCTTGATCAAAATCACTACATTTCAGTCTTTAATTGTTCTAAAAATCTCTGCAAAATACTTTTACTTTTTACTCTTTTTAAACAGGTACTCCAGTAGATTTTCCCATGTTGTACTTCTACTTTTACTTCAGTAACTTTTTCCCCTCTATCTGCATTTTTACATAAGTTAACAAAATAGAGCACTTCAGCCACCACTGCTTTAAAATCAAAACAAATTGTGAGTACTTTGGACAGGTCCCCAGGCTCTTGTAGCTCCGCGCCGCTGCAAGTCCCGGTCTAACCCCCAGCTCCTCCCCGAGATCCTCCCTGTATCCTCCAGCGACCCCTCCCCGCGTCCCGGGGTAGTGTGAGTATAAAGACCCCTCCTCCTGCGCGGGGCTCCATCACACTTGGAGAGAGAGGCTGAGAGGACAGAACATCTCCACCAGGATGAAGCTGCTTTGCCTGACCGCCTGCGCCCTCTGGGTCCTCTGCGCCCTGGATCACGTGGACTCCTCCGCCTACGACAAGATAGTGGCACACAGCCGCATCCGGGCCAGGAAAGAGGGGTAAGAGATGGATATGGTACTGTTATCATATTTGCAAAGATGGACAAAGACTTGACAAAGATGGGTAGTAGTTTTAAGTATCTATTTTAATACCCTAGGTCCTAAATTGACTTTTGTGAGCTTTAAGTCATGTTAAAACATGTTTTAATTCATTCACACAAGTCTGACAAACACTTTATTATTAGTCTATGTACATCTCCAATGCTCAAAATGCTCTCAAAATGTCATGTAGTTGTAGTTTTCAAGTTAAGAAATTTGCAATTACAGAGCTGAAATGATCCACATGATTCTAGTGAAGGTGTGTGGAGTTTAAAAACACAGTGGAGCGCTTGAATTATTGCATGACATCACAAGGTAGAGTAGAGTTTTTTCAGTTTGAGAGAAGAACTCAGCGTAAATATGTAGAGTTTGTGTGTTAAACATGTGAGAATGAAACAAAACACAGCTCCAGGTCTGTTTGTGATGAGGAAACAACTTTATAACATAGATTTTTTAAGTCATTAGAAATAGAACTTGATTTTATATGTTGCCTGTCTGACTATATCACATTACTAAAATAGAAATAGAAATAAATATTACTAGGGATGTAACGATATCCAGATTTCTATCATGGCATGCATCTTACAGTACGATATTTCTTGCGATATTTTGGAGAGGAGAGAGCGACTTTTTGGGTTTTAAAATACCTTGACAAGATTTTGGTGTGAATTATTTCCATTATAATGTCAAGAATTCAAGTAAAAAATTGAATGAATCATGGGATATGCAGTTCCCAATGTCCATAAGCTGTTGCTGCTATAAAACCATGAATTTAAGCAAAGGAACTTGTAATTCGATATATTGTGACAGCCCAAGATATTATTGTGCGTAATATAGTTTTGATGTCACAATACTCTTCTTGTAGTAGTTTTGGATACTCTGACCACCTGCAGTAACTGTGAAGTGACCATAGTTATTATTTTATACTATATAATATACTATAAATGGACAGAGCTAACCTGCTGGTGCGTTTCAAATAGGAAGTGAGCATGGGCACACTTCCAGCTCCATCGACTCTGGCTCCAGTTGACTTTACATGAAATTATTGTCACCTCTCTCTTTATAACTGCTGCTGTGAGCCTCGTCATTTCTGTCTTAAAATGTTCGTTTTAACCCGCTCTACATGATCCTAGTGTTTTTATTTCGCTATTTTGTCTGTAAATCCTATTCCTAAACTCGGCTCCAAATTTGCTCCTATAACTACTAGCCTCGTGAGCTTCATTTGACTGGAGCTGAACACTATGGGTGACGTCACATTCCCTGAGTCCACTTCTTTGTACAGTCTATCAAATTGACAGTTTGATCGATAGATACCATTATGTACTCATTTATAGGCTGATTACATGTTTTGCTTTATCATGCGTAAATTCTGTGTGATTAATCAAATTCTTATCCAGACTTGGCCGTGTCTAATGGTCAATGCTCCGCGTGGGCGTTTTTAATGGAGAAATACAGCCAATACTTTGTCAGTAAAAGCAGGAGATTTGGAGCAGAGTTCAGACTTTGAAGGAAAAAATTGGCTATTTTTTGTCCATATCATTAAAAATCATTATCCACTTTTTGCCACATTACCCAGATTGAATTTATATTCCGTCCTTTTCAAGTGCTATGAGCAAATAACTAATACACAGTTTGTATTTATATAATAATTTGCTATCTTTAAGGGGCTCATATTCAGTGTTGGGGAGTAACAGATTACATGTACCGGAGTTACGTAATCAGAGTACAAATTATGAGTAACTGTATTCAGTTACAGTTACTGTTCCAATGAGTGGTAATTGGATTACAGTTACTTTGTTGAAATAAATGGATTACACAGAGGTATGTTCCTGTTTTCACATTTTGGGCTGAACCAGGACTAAAACCAGGACTAAACCAGGACTAAACCAGGACTAAACCAGGACTAAACCAGGACTAAACCAGGACTAAACCAGGACTAAAACCAGGACTAAACCAGGACTAAACCAGGACCAGGACTAAAACCAGGACTAAACCAGGACTCCAGGACTAAACTAAACCAGGTCTAAACCAGGACTAAACCAGGACTAAACCAGGACTAAACCAGGACTCCAGGAACCAGGACTTAAACCAGGTCTAAACCAGGACTAAACCAGGACTAAACTAAACCAGGACTAAAACCAGGACTAAACTAAACCAGGACTAAACTAAAACCAGGTCTAAACCAGGACTAAAACCAGGTCTAAACCAGGACTAAACCAGGTCTAAACCAGGACTAAACCAGGTCTAAACCAAAAACCAGGTCTAAACCAGGACTAAACCAGGTCCAAAAAACCAGGTCTAAACCAGGTCTAAACCAGGACTAAACCAGGGCCAATTTGATGAGAACAAACAAGAATTTTCAGGATGTGGTTGGTTACATTCATGCAGTTTTAAAAAGCAAGACAATATCAAGTAATCCAAAGTATTCAGATTACGTTACTCACTTTAAGCAATTTAATGGATTACATTACAAACTACATTTTAGGGTATGTAATCTGTAATCTGTAGGGGAATACATTTTAAAAGTAAACTTCCCAACACTGCTCATATTACACTATTTTCTGATTTATGTTATAATGTTGTTTCCTCATCACAAAAATACTTGGAGTTTTGTTTCATTCATACATTTCTAACACACAAACCCTTCATATTTAGGCTGAGTTCCAGTGCTCCATTGTGTTTTTAAACTCCATACACCTTAACTAGAATCATTTGGATGATTATAGCCCTGGAATTGATTGATTTCTCGTGTGGAACAGAACATTTTGAGCTTTGGAGATGTAGACAGACTAATAATAAAATGTTACTCAAACACGTGTGAATAAAAAACACACAACTCAAGCTAATTTTTGATGAAGTAAAACATTATAACATGACATAAAGCTCACACTAATCCGTTTTGTGTAATATAGGATCATTAATAAAAGTTTGAAATCTGTTGAATTCATTATATTTTCCTTATTTATTGCATATTCTTTTAAAATCCTTCCTAATTTTCCTTTAATTTCCTCATATCTTGAACATCTAACTCGTGTATGCAACACCAGATCCGTCACATCTCTCCACACTTCTCATTGTCACTGCATAAATTATCACTGTTTACTCTCAACTCTCCCCCCTCCTCTATCTATCTTCATCTGTGTGCCTCCTCCCCATCGCCCCCTGGTGTTCTAACCGAGCATGTCCTCTCTCCCCAGGCCCAACGTGTGCGCCCTGCAGCAGGTGATGGGCACCAAGAAGAAGTACTTCAGCACCTGCCGCAACTGGTACAAGGGCTCCATCTGTGGCAGGAAGGCGTAAGTGTTTCCCAATCAAGATTTATTCAACTTATTTTATGACAGTCGTATTTCATAAAGCAGGACGTGCCAAATATGTGACATTTCATAAAAAGTGAATTATAATTGGTGTCTCTAAATCATGCTCAGATGCCTCTAGGGGAGCTTTGCACAAAGATTTCTAAGATTTCGTTTACACTTGTTTTCGGTTGGGAGGGTCTGAGCCTACCGGTAGTTTAGATTTAATGTTTATTTTGTAGTCTAATCGAGGTTTAGTTCTGGGTTTAGTCCAAGTTTATTCCTAATACTTCTCAAAATATAGTGTATTTTTCGGAAGTCACTCCGGAGAATAAGTCGCACCAGCCAAAAAATGCATAAGGAAGAAGAAAAAAATATATATAAGTTGCACCAGAGTATCAGTCATACTTTTTTTTTATATAAAATCAGGGACCAGGAACCAACATTTCATCTTGAAAGGCAAGATACAGTACTAACAATAGAATAAAGAACAACAGGCTGAATAGGAATCTGGTATGTTAACGTAACATATGAACAGTTATTTAGATAATTATAGCATAAACAACAGAACATAAGTTTACCAAACTCTCGATCTCACTCCAAATCACTAAATCCATTGAATCCATTGAATTATTCATCCTCGGTGTCACATCTAAGCAACTCCAGTCCAGGCATGCTGCACCCTTGCCGTGAAGCTGTGTTCTCCATTCCCGCTTTACGTCAGTCCCTCACAAATTTCTCGCACATTCCAAACTTTCTTTCTGCTGCTCGATTACCATTTTCGGCTGCAGATTTCACTACTTGCAGCAGGACAGCGGCTTTTTCTGCAGGAGACACGCGCAGAAAACTGATACACAAGCCTAGAGTGCACTCTCACGGCTGTCAGTCTGAAAAAATAAATACATAAGTCGCACCGGAGTATAAGTCGCAGGAAACACCCAAACTATGAAAAAAAGTGTGACTTATAGTCCGAAAAATACGCTAGTGTGAAAGCAAGTGTTGTCACCATACTAAAATTTTAAAAGTGGTTTTGATACGAAGGGATACTTAATACTGATTTCGACAACACAATGATAATAAAAAAAAACACTCTTCCCTTTAGTCCTCCAGAACCCACCCCTCCTCTCCCCTCTTTTTCCAGTTTAAATGTAGTTTTGATACTAAGGAATACTCAATACTGGTTCCGATACCATAATTATGATTAAAAAAAACACTCTTTAGACAGTAGAATGTCATTTTCCACATGCTGAAATGAGTATCTAGTTCGCTTGTTCGTCCATTTTTATACTTTTGACAACCCTAAAAGTGACAGGAGAGAACACCAGGAGGGGGCAGCACTGTTGTTCCCATTTCAATTATTCCTTTATCGGGTCAGCGTTACAGCTTTCCCTTCTACGGGGCAATTGGACACAGTAAATTTTGTCGTCTTTGTCAGTTTTTGTTGTAGCATTTACAGTAAAGAGTAGTAGTTTTTTTTTAAATTGACAATGTAAACACGAGCTAAAATGTGATATTAAGGTTTATTGTGAAATGTTTATTGTGGAGGAGGAGCGAATAAACAGCTTTTTTGACTTCAGCTTGTAATGAATTGGAATGTACAACTTTAGAGATGGAACCAAATAAAAAATGACCCAAAAGACCTTCACCCACTGCTCTTTGTTTTTGTTTTTTGGTCATATCGCCCAAGGACAAACATCCCGGGTCTCCCATACTTTAGGATTAGTTTTGACAAGGGAACAAAATAATATGGGGGTAGGAAGCTCCAAAATTTTTGCGTAATACAGCGTCGCCAATACAAAAGACGAACCACGTTGCAGCCTCCTCTTCTCCATCTCTTTTTGCTGGAAACTCCTTCGCCCTGTTTTTCCACAAAAACACACATCTGCTATTCGAATCCAGCCGCTGCACCAGAATCTTAAAATCCAGCGCTTCAAAAAAAAAAAAAACTCAAAATGATTCTATAAAGTTTGGCATGCAGAACTGGGGGAGCCCGCGATGGGTTACTGTAGCAACCATCCTCTGATTCCAGCCATAAAAGCCCACTGTACTTTGTGAATGGAAAAGCCTTGAGATGAATCGCTTCAGACAAGGTCCCTTTGCCTCATTGTTCCGCCTCCTCAGCACTTTTGTATTCACTTTTGTATTCGCATGTGGGCCGTTCTACCCCTGCCCTCCCGAGGCTCAGACACAAACATTATCATAGCTTTACTGCCAATAGAGACTTCAAGTGGAACTAAAACACTAAAAATCCACTTTCCTCGCTACTAAACGGTGCACATGGTGTTGGAATAACGTTATCAAATGTTCTGAGTCCCTTTTTGGCAATGTTAGTGGAAACTAGGTAAACCTGTAACTTTCTCGTCAAAAACGCCTAAATCTAAGTGTGTGCTGCCTTAGGTGACCTCTGAGATTTCCAGTAGTGGGCGATGCTCTCCTCTTTTAGAACCTGCTCCTCCTCATTCTCTCCTTTAGTCCTCCAAACCTCGCCTCTCTTTCTCAGTTACTCTCCCCTTTAGTCCTCCACACCCCATCCCTCCTCTCCCTCATTCTCCCCTTTAGTCCTCCCTGCTCCTCCTCACTCTCTCCTTTAGTCCTCCAGACCCCGCCATCCCTCTCTTCTCACTCTCCCCTTTAGTCCTTCAAACCCCGTCCCTCTTCCTCCCTCACTCTCCCCTTTAGTCCACCTGAGCCTGCCCCTCCTCACTCTTCCCTTTAGTCCTCCAGATTCTGCACCTCCTCTTCCCTCACTCTCCCCTTTAGTCCTCCAGATCTCATCCCTCCTCCCCCTCTCCCCTTTAGTCCTCCAGACTCCTCTTCTCCCCTCCTCACTCTCCCATTTAGTCCTTCTGAACCTGCCCCTCCTCACTTTTCCCATTTAGTCCTCCTTAACCTGCTCCTCCTTACTCTCTCTCCTTTTAGTCCTCCAGAACCTGCTCCTCCTCATTCTCCCCTTTAGTCCTCCAGACCTCCCTCCTCCTCTTCCCTCACTCTCCCTTTAGTCCTCCAGACTCCTCCTCTCACCTTCCTCTCTCTTCCCTTTAGTCCTTTAAACCCTTTCTCTCCCTCCCTCACTTTCCCCTTTAGTCTTCCAGGCCCCATCCCTCATCCTCCTTCACTCTCCCCTTTTTAGTCCTACAGACTCCTCCTCTCCCCTTCCTCACTCTTCCCTTTAGTCCTCCAGACCCCGTCTCTCCTCTCCCCTCACTCTTCCCTTTAGTCGTCCCTCCTCCTCCCTCAGTCTTCCCTTTCGTCCTCCAGAACCCGCCCCTCCTCGCCTCCCCCGCCCCCATCCCTTTAGTCCTCCAGACCTCGCCATTCTTCCCTCATCACTCTCCCCTTTTAGTCCTCCAGAACCCGTCTCTCCTCTCCCTCACTCTCCCCTTTAGTCCTCCCTGCTCCTTCTCACTTTTCCCTTTACTCCTCCAAACTCAGATCCAGTTTAACTTAAATGCAGCAATTTACATTTACTACAAACTCCTCCCAAACCCTTTTTACCACAAACCTCTAACAGCGCTGCAGTCACACGAGGATCACTGAAACTAGTGTGAAAGACGCTAAATATAACTGCAGATATGTTTTTAATGAGACAACAACAGCTAAACGCTCAAAAAAGGAAAAAGAAAAAAGCCCATTTAGCATAATTTGTCCTTTAATATAAACCAGACCCAACCCAAACACTGGGCCGTACCGCTGAAAAACACGGAGAACAAACGTTAGACAAGGCTGGATGAAGTACTCAGTTTTGTTACTTAAATAAAAGTACAGATACAGAGGCAAAAAGTTACTCAAGTAAAAGTATCTCATGAGAAAATCTTTGTAACCTGTTTAAAAATGGACTTTAAGAGTAAAAAGTAAAAGTGTTTTGCAGACTGTGGAGACTTCTAGGACAATTACATCTAAAAATGTAGTGATTTCGATAAAGAAATTCTCAGATTTTAAGTGATTCAATTGATTTCTTTATTTGTCTAGCCGTTTTTGTGTTTTTGTGTTGCTCAAAGTTATGAACTCAGAAACTCAGATTAAATGCGCTAAAAATGAAGTCTCAGCAGATCTCAAACCATAAAGAAAAGTACTTTTTTAACTTTTCAGTCCAGATCTAAAATGTAGTGGATTAGGAAGTACAGATACACGTTTTCAAGCGCAGTGATGTAAAAGTAAAAAGTATCCACTGTAAAATCCACTTAAATGAAGTACTGATACCTAAAATTTGTACTGAAGTATTGTCCTTTTACTTTCGTACTTTTGTTACCTTCCACTATTGATATTGGACGTGGGGATGTGGATTCTTGGTGAATGTTTGGGGCTTGTTGACACTAGCGAACTATGAACGCATGAGGCCAATGGTGCAGCTCATTCTTTACATACTTACTATTTATATCTTACAATCTATTCAAGGAAATGCTCAGAAGGACTGAATCAAGTTTTCGTCCTCCAGGCTAATTTATACATTTTGATCACTAGTCTTGGTAATAGACCTTTTTCATAAAGGCAGGAAGTGCTGCGCTGTAGGTTTGTGGAACTTACGATTAATGGTTTTCTCTGGCAAAATGTCTGCGTAAATGTCTTGTGTATTCTAGCCAGACTGGCGCCACCTAGTGCCTCCCCTCAATTTCATTTCTCTCCAGCGACAAGGTCAGGAATTGGAATACACTAGATGGTTCGCAAAAAACCCCAGAAATGTAAGTTCGGGCACAGTCAATCAGCGAAGAGCCAGACATTCTGTGTTGTCAACGATTCCCAAGATTGAGGATTTAACGCCGGAACAAAGAGAATGTTTTGTGAATTTTATCAAGGGGAAAGACGTTATTGCTCTTCTTCCTATGGGATTTGGGAAAAGCTTAATATACCACTTAGCCCTGTTAGCAGCGCATTACATACGTCACGACCAAATAGTAGAGACTGGTTAAATGATAAAAAGTACCTGCCTACGGTTGAGCGAATGAAATCTAACACTACGAGGTCAGACGGTTTGTACGAAGTGAAACCGGCTGATGAATCAGGCT